CATTTGATGAATTAAAAACTCTCGCAAGTATTTTGATTGCTCTCATATAGATAAAGGAACTAAAATTACTGTTTCATTGTTTTGCAAATCATAAAATAATACAAAAAAGTTTTACCATCCATTTTAGTTATTTGGAACTTTTAAGCTCAATAGCATTACTTCAAACATTTTCTTGACAGTTATTATGAACTCTCACTTGTTTGAGGTTCTACTATACCACAAAATAGTGGATGAATCCATAATATGAGAGGTAAAAACAAATAAAAATGTTTTAATATGAGGTACAGTTTTTTTTCTTATTGCGTGTAGCGTTTGTTGACCATAAAAATATTTTGAACGCGTCATTTTTCGATTTTGTTTATGTTTACGAGTAGGTGAAGTACGTAATTAAATCACTGATGTAACATGTCATCGATCAGTGAATTCGCTGGATAGTTTTTTTTATTGTTTTGAAATACGAAATAACCTGCAGCCTTTGACAACTATGCAAAACAATATTATGTAAATAACTTGTATAAACCTCATGGCTATCAGCAGTTACCTGAAGACAAACCATGATGTTATAACCAACCGAATTTCGCATCTAGAAGATCCAAAATGGTTATTTGCTGCTTGAAATCCAGCAGTTTGATTTAAGTTTTCCTTTCAATCTCTCAAAAGAAGATTGTTTGATATCAAATGCAAGAATCCTTAGTGAATCCTTTATAAAATGCGGTTTTTGTTGGACTATGAACGGGCATTGAATATTCGTCTCAGTTTTAAAAGTAACACAACAATGATATTTGCTACTAAAAACAATCTTCCCTACTGTTGCTGCGACTTCTTAGCTTAAATCAGAAGAGCTGAAAAGCATGACTCAGCCTATAATTAAAGAAGTATAACATTTCTCAATTGGACCTTCCACGAAAAATCTGATTTGCTTACTCTGTGGCGAATTTGTGGTTTAGCATTGTATTGCACTGCGTAGCACGCTGAATTGGTCACCGGATTTAAATTATGTACAATCTATCATGAAATACCGAGGAATAAAAATCAGACCACAATTGGGTGACGTGCTTGACAACATTGATGATGTTCCAAATTGCTGATTTCGCCTTTCGTCATAGGATTCCCCCATAGCACTGTGTTGCATCAGTTTACTGCAGTAAGTGGAAAGTGGGAATACCGTAAACTAGCTCTCAATTGCACACTTGAGCCCCTCAATGAACTTGCTCATTTGTGAGGATTCGTTCAGGCATATGGCTTTGTGTTGCATACACTATACAAATAGTAGTCTGGTGTACACATAAAATACATGATACGTTCTTATTAGACATGTATCAATTCAAGAGTATAGACAGAATCCCGATCAATCTGGACACGGATGACACAGTAGCATTTGTATTCATAACTTGTTTGACAGCATATTTTACTATTCGTTTTCTCCATGGTCTGTTTGTAGCCTGCCTAATTTGAAACACTCTAATGCCATGATAATGTTTTGTGACAGAGGGAATACTTGTCACCATGAGTAAAAAGAGAACAGTATTATGTGATCAAAACTTTGAAATCACTCCAGTAAGAATGTTAAACCACGACTACTGAATAACTACCCATTGGTTGAGTACTCCAGTGTTTGCCCCAGATGCAAACGAGTGTCTCGAAGACTCCAAATATGTAATACTTACTTGATTTGTGCGAATACGTATTCCGATTTCCTCACCTACTACGCTTGACTAGCTCCAATGGGCAAATAATCGCTTTTGAAGACGGAATGAGTTCGAACGTTTTTGTAATGACTGCTGGCACTCTCAAAGACTCTTTGTCGACGGGGCTTTAAACTGGTAGCTGCTTAATTGCATCAAATGCGGCATAGATTTGGGTAAAAGGAGTAGAACGAACTGTGGCTGATTCGGAGTATCGAGCGAAAGGAACTCGTGATATTGATCCAACCAGTTTGTGTATGCGTGTGTGATGCAGTCATCCAGTTTAATTTTAAGAGCTAGCCGTTCCAATTGGTACACTTGTTATTTTTTATCGGTTATGCCCCACTAGCTTTAATTATTAAAATCTTTCTTTTGTGTGCATTTCGACTGAACTCGGAGATCAGAATGTACAGAAAATGTGGAGCATTAGAAACCGAAACGATCACGATCTGTGGCTTGAATTCTGTGATCTGTTCCCTTATCGCCTACTCTTCTAATCCACTTTGCATGAAAATATTGTTGCAATTTATAACGCAGCTTGTTTTAATTTGCAAAACAAGGAGTGCTATTAGCGTGAGATAGGTAAATAAAAGCATTACCTCGAATGCCACAGGGTGTAGTTGAGTTAATTACCAGATCTTCGTCGCAATGTTTCCTTTTCAGTAAGTGCAATGCACTAATAAAAGTCAAAAAGCCGCTTATCACGATACAGTTTATTTAATAAGAGTTTTATCCACGGTTAGTGCCAGGTCGATGTTATTGCTGCTGTTGTGGTGGTAACCTTGATCAAACAGTATAAATCAGCATTAACTTAGCTTGGATCTCGCGTGTATTCCAATGCAACTATTGACATCACGTTTCTGCAATATTTCATTTAATCTAACAAGATTTAGTTGTCGAAAAATTTTATTAGCAGCAGCTCAGTATTTGCCAAAACAAACAGCAGTCATTTAGCCTTCGACTAACCGAGTGATAAACATGGCACAACGTGAACTGTTTGCTCGTGTTCATAGACACATCGATGTAACAATGAATGTTTAACATGAATTCGATTTCGATTATCAGTTTTGTGTGTTCAAAATAAGTGTAGTATTGTACACAAGTTGCACGGCAAAACCTGAAACCCACGTGACCGATGATGATGATAATCTGTGTTTGGGGGTGGAGGAGAAATGATTGTTACGAAAAATACACATCAATATAACGTATTGACACCTTAATTGGAGATGAACATCTACCGGGGATTTCAAACAAAGGACACAAAAACTATAAAAGTATGTTTTTAGTGACTGATTTCTTGGAATCAGAAAAATAACATTGACAGTAATGGAAACAGCCGGTGGCATTTTAATAAATGAATAACGGAGGAAAACGAAAGGCTAATGTTGTTTTCTCATCGTATTTTCGAATTGATCAACAAAATTTGTGCGAGTCACATTCTCTAAAACATCGTCATCATCCAGGTAAAGAATTTCATAAGAGCATCGTCTCAGTAAAATTAACTTGCTAAAAGG